AGAGGTTAAACGAACATTCTCATTGTTTACGTTTAATAGGGTGAATCATCGCAGTGAGGTCGTCGACGAAAACAGAGAGTTTCACGCTTACTGCTTCTCTCTCGCTAAGTAAGTCTGCTTAGTATTTATCATCACTCTGCATTTTAATCTTTTGAGAATATTCGGTGGAATCTAATTAGGGTTTGTTTTGTGGTGAATTAATTGCAGTCGAATTGATGCCTCTATTGGGAAAGATGAAGTTCCTGTGGATGCTCAAGAGCTTGCTACAACCCTCATCAATCAAGTTTGTTTACTTTTTTTTGGTCTTATAAAGTTTCAATTTTTCAAAGTGCTTCTTTAGTAACTTAGTATACTCATACTAACTGTTGTTTCGGTGTTGTATGGTGAAGGTGTGTCGACGACATAGATGTGATGATGAAACGAGGGCTGTGATGATGGTGTTGATGATCTCTGTTAAGGTAATAGAAGAAACAGAGTTAGAATTAGTAACTCTTGTAGTAGTTATGGTCAGATTTTGGCAGAGCCACTACACTTATTTCTTTAAAAGGGTGATGATTTAGATATTATAGGTGTGTATGTATATAATAATGATGTATTTATGTTTCTTGCATAGACTGCATGTGGGCTTGGATGGTTCCCGGAGAGAGAATCTCGAGAACTGCTGGCTCTTGTAGACTCGGTATTTGTAGTTCCAGACGAACTTTTAAGTTTTGAGAATATTTTGGATTCTTTTATTTAGTGATGTTTTTCTTCTTGTACAGATGTGGAAGGGTTTCAGCAGTCCTGAAAACGTTGCCTCTGGTCTAAGTAGTGCCGTCAATCTAATTCCGCAGGTCATGGAGAGGTAAGTTGCTGTTTCCTTGTGCAACTTTAACTTATGAGGATTTAGTAGTCGATGGTAGTCCACATATCTGACACTAGCAAGGGTTCTAAGATTTGAATGTTGGTTTGTTTGATTCTGTAGGTTCTATCCATTTACAAAGCTGGGGCAAATACTTGTTTCTACTGAGGCGGAGGTGGCTTTAATTTATTCAGTTCTATGCACCTTTTAATGCGTGCCTGAGTTACCTTTTTCTCTTCTGGCAGGCAGAATCAAACATATTGATGAAGGACTTCCATATTTCTAAAAAGATGCTGCAAGATTCTCCCAAACAGAAAGTAGTACGTATTAGAATTTATTTTATGGATGCGTTTTATCACTCTGCGTCTTCATTTAAATTCGCTTTTGTCGCTCATATTGTATTGTGCTTGTGTGGGTTCTCCTGCATTCAAGTTTTTGGTGCAACTAGGTATGTAGATGCATGAATGTACTTTTAAGCTTAAGTATTAGCTTTTCTGGTCGTGTCACTTGACTCACTTTAGCCTTTTATATGTTTGGATCTTTGTTCATGTATCCTCTTATTATACCTGATTGTTTATTACGGGAATCTTGCTTGCTCTTCAGGGATTATTTGTTTTTCGGGCAGAGGACATAAGCAAGTCTAGTTGTATTATACATCCTCAAAAAGTCAGGTGTGGCTGTATTGCTTTCCGTTTTATGATGCAGTTTCTGTATTTTAAGTTTTTAACTAATCACATTGGCTTTTATGTGAAATTACAGCTTTCTGTTGAATGGGAAGGGCGTTGAAAAGAGATATGGCTTATCAATGGTTTGTGCATTTGCTTTCTCGGATATGTTTTGAAGTACTTACTATCTATTTTACAAGTAATTGTTTATCGTAATTTTTTATTCAGGATTCTGGGCCGCAGTGTCCCACGAATGTTACTAGCCTGCTCAACCCTGGGTCAAACCTTCTGCAAACAATAGGCTGTTTTGAAGGTTTCCGTTGAATTGATATTCTAACCATCATCTTTTTTTCATCTTCTCATTTCAGTGGTAATGAACAGATTTCCATTTGCTATAGGTAGTTACCTCATTGTTATTGCCTTAATGGATAACATATCACTGCCGGCCAATCCGTTGCTGAAAGATTATGTTCATTCTGAAGTCATTGAATCAAATTCAGGTAATATCAAGAGCTTTCAGTCACTAGTATAAGAAACCATTCGCTTAATGTTTATTGCATATCCCACAATGAAGTCATTTTTCATTCGTACAATTTTTTCCGAGAAAATTCTTCTCTAGATCAACCATTGTTTGGGGTTTTCAAACTTTTTTTGTGTAGATTGTGACATAGTTGAGGGCCCATCAAGGATATCTCTCAGTTGTCCTATCAGGTACGGGGATTTTATACTAGATTTACATCTCGAGAAATTGCTTTCAAAATTACCTTAACCTTATAAAAAATTAATCATCACCATTGTAACAGCCGCACACGTTTCAAACTTCCTGTGAAGGGTCATGCCTGTAAACATCTTCAGGTGACGTATTTTCTGTTTAGTACGAGAAATGATAGTATCAGTCTTGTGTTTCCATAATTCATTAATACATAGATTTTAAGGCTCTAGTTTGCTTAACTGTTACCATCTATAACATGTCTTGTTGAATTATATATTGGTAAGTAAATACATTATAATTGTGTAAATCCTCATTGTGGGTTGCTAAGCAAATACAGTCCTTTTCTGTTTTTATCATTTCTCTGCATTTGACCCGCTGCAGCATTCAATTAGTGACCTCTGATTTCACCTGTGTTTTATAAATAGTGTATAAATGGAGGCTTGGCTTATCAGAACTATAATATATTGTTACTTTCTGTTGTAGTGTTTTGATTTCTGGAACTATGTCAAAATAAATACGAGAATACCATCATGGCGCTGTCCGCATTGCAATCAGTCTGTCTGCTATACTGACATCCGTGTAGATCAAAACATGATAAAGGTAAGTAGCTTACTACTGTTGCTTGGTGGTACATCTTTTGACATCTAACTCTGGATAAACAACGTTGTCTAATATCCACAGATTCTAGAAGAGGTGGGATGTAATTCTACGGATGTGGTTATCTCTTCTGATGGATCATGGAGTATTGCAATGGAGAACGGTGAGAATGTGGGAGCTGTGCCGGAAACCACTCATGAACACCGGGACGCAACTAGTTTCCAAAACATGGGGCCTACTGTTATGGATCTTACCATAGATGATTACGAAATGGAAACATCAAGAGGCACTCAAGTCAATGAACAGAAGCCTTGTGTATCCGAGATTCAGGGTCTGTCTTCTGCACTGCCAGAGTTGCCACAAACTTTGAATACTTTTGATGGGCAGCAATTCATCAACTCTCCGCAAGTAGGAAACACGCGAGATTCAGCAGCAAGGGATGCCATTCCTACCAACCTATATCCGCAAGATAGATTAGCTACAAATACGCCCAGCTTTCACACATCAATGCCTGGTGCTCAGTCTTCTCAGTTTCAAGGGTCACATGTTACGCCCCTCAGAAATTGTCTTGGAAGAACCACTGATTTGATGGAGCGATGGAACCACATCTATGGAAATAGCACAACTCAAACTCAATTGACACCCATGCCTCCTCCGTTGAATCACCAGTATGCAATGCAGGTTTGTCTTCCATTACTCAATGGTGTTTTTTGTTTTGTTTTCGATAATTTGTTTTGTTATCTTCACCTGATCTTAACCACCATATCTGCCTGAAGAATTGCTATCTTAATCTCTCATATTCTGTTCTTATCTGTTTGCAGAACCAGAGACTTCCCACCAGGAGCATGACCCCTGCACAGGACAGATCGATCCCATCTTCCGTTACACATCCCCAAACTTTAGGTGTCAACTATGGAGGGACCTCCGAACAGAGGCACATGCAAAGACGGAATCCGGGTGGCTCATCGCGTGAGTCCATGAACTTGACTCCTGCTAACACAGGAAACTGGCGCCCACAGACTCGGATGCGAGGCAGCCTAACGCCAGGTTCCACGGAGTATGACCACATGATCATTCGACCTACTCAGCCGGTTCAGACACAAGCTCAAACACTTTCTCAGTCAACAGCTTATAATTATATGCCGGTTCAGACACAAGCTCAAACACTTCCTCAGCCTCAACCAACACCTTACTATAACAGTATAGATGATGAGATTCAAGCTTATTTGGCTCAACAAACGGAAGCTGGAATCGGTTCAGTTCCCGTTGCTGAAGGTGTTGGGACGCTGGGGTCGTTTTGGTCAATGCCTCCTGAGACATGGTGATTATCTGATGGCACCACAACGGTTTGTAGCAATAGCACGTGTCCACTAACACAATCCAAACAGTATACAAGGGTTTCTTTTTTGTTACTAACCAGTTTGGCTTCCGGTATGTTTATGAGTGTATTTTTTATTTACTCAATGTGATAACAATTTGGTATCTTTTTAGAGAATCCTTTTGTTATTTATATACATATAAAACCTAAAAGGATTAACCTAAATCCAAAAAGTTTAAATTCGGGTACGTCATTTCAGGTGTTAGTAGTGCGTTTCTTAATTTAAGCAGATCTTGAAAGCACTCACTAGACATTAAACAATCAAATGATAAGAGTTTGTCTGATGTGTATATCTTTTTGTGGTTGTCCAAGCTATAGTCCATTCCTTCAACATTCATTTCATGTTGTCACAGTTCCTATCATGTTCCCTATGTCTCAATTCACCTAAAAGAATAACGTTTGAAATACTTTTTTGCTTACCTAAATTTTTCTCGTACATCTATCTCATATTTCTTCGGGCTTCAAAAATTAGAGAACATGTTAAAATAATAATGAAAAAAAAAGTTTATTTATGCTCATTTCACATCATCAACACCAGTTATGGTTGATTGTTTTTTCCATCGTTTTCTGTTATTAATTTAAGCAATTCGTACTTGTAAAATTTTCATTAAATCTTGGTCTTGAATTGTGTACTTGGTTCAAATATCGGACCAAGTACCACGGTGGAGTATTTTCAACCAATTTAATATCCTAACCTTAAAACCAAAGACAAACAAAAATACTAACTAAAGTTATATCACCTAATAACATAAGTAAAGTAGATCGAAGTTGTGCACTGGTAGGTACTTTGTTCATCATACTAAAAACGTGAACTAATCAAATAAAATAACACACGAACTTGTTGGTTGTGTTATTCCACGGACATCAAAGCTCACTTGGTATTCTATATCTTCTGATATTATAATCAAAAATACAATTATTTGAAGGGAAACCGATATAGGAAAGACGACAAGAGAACACCATATGAATGTATGATAGCCAGCCTCCTCCTGGCTGCTTGTTATTGAATATTGGATGTCTACAGAAGGAGAGATACTGGATCCAATGCACCACGAGATGATTCAGATTAAACAAATGAAGAAATAGTCAGTGCCGGCTAAGTGGGGGGACAATCGGTGCGACCGCCCCGGGTCCTAACCCATGTCCCCCCGTATATCAATGATTAAGGGGTCCAATTTTTTTTATAAATACATATTTTTATACAGAAAAAATTAAAATTTTAATAACTAATTTTGAAAAGGGGCCTAATAATATTTCACAAGTATATAGTTTTATTTTCTATCACAAAATATTACTGATTAAATTGTAAAAACAAAAAAAAAATTAAATATTGAAAAAACATAAATTTTAAAAGGTAAAATTTTTTTTTTGCCCTAGGGCCCCCGACAAAGTTAAGCCGGCCCTGGAAATAGTAGACACACTTTTATCTTTTAACCAAGTTTTAGTTCTAATACTATATTTTCTGTCTCAAGGTCCACTTGTCTGTAACTGTAGAATAGTCCCATGCTTGTAATGGATTTGTCTGTTTATTTTTAAAAACAAGTCGCATTCAAACAAACTCATGATTCCAATTCCAACTCTCACATCATATCAGTTTTAACTTTTAACTCCAGTTCACCTTATAACTGCCTGGAAAGATCATTTTCTATCTTGCCAAAAATGTAAATATCGTATATTCAGATTTTACAAACGTACAATCTAATACAGTACTCTGCCAAGGCAAAACAAATAAAAACAAGGCAGAGCAAAATAGGTTTTGATATATTATTTACTTTGATATATACTTTTCAATAACTATTAACTAATGGTATTTAATCAATTAAAAAGTATTTTCAAAAATATACAAAAATAATCTTGACCATTTTATAGGTTCAAAATACTCTTGGGTTAATAAAACTAAATATATAAAAACTATTTTTGTAGAACACAAAAAAAAATCTAAAATATTTCACTTTCGAGAACGGAATGAGTATATCTTAAATTCTACAACGCCGTCTGTGATGTTCGAGAGAAACCAATCACAAGCAGTGACGATTGCCGAAATACTACTCAATTTGCGCAAACCTTACTGCTACATTTCCAAGCGTGTTACTCGGGTCTTTGACTTTCCTCAATCCATGTGCCATGAGACGATAAGATATACTCAACAAGTCATCGTATCATGGCATATGTATCATGACATGTTTTCAACAACTTCTAAAAATCAGTAAACACAAACACGATCGATATCTCATTTGATGAGTGAGTTTAAACATTTTTAACACACACTCAATACTTCATATACATCATGATTCGTGATATCATTTGAGAGACTCAAAAAAAAACAATTACACCTAATTACGAAAATTACATAAAATCTAGCACATTCACTTGGCTAAAAGCCTAGAATTACCTTTTAAATAAATAGAACAATAAATACCTTTATAGGGAGAAAATTGAAAGATTGTTGATGATTTCTTGATCGATGTCCTTATTTTCAAGAAAAGCAATTAAATTCTATCTTTATCAAAACTAGATTTGACAATATGTCATGATTTGAGATGCGAGGATATACTGGTGAGTACTATAAGACATTTAAATATGGCTATGAAGTTTCTAGCTTTGCTTACAATTAATCTCGAATTGGTTCATTACTCTAACGCAACAGATAACGTACACGGCTTTTTCAATGTAAACTAACGCGGTCACTATCTCATGCAACTATATATTCAATGTGACAACTCATTTCAATTCGTGATAAATTGATTAACCACGTACGAACATCTACGATTCCTAGATTGATTAATCACGTATGAAATATTATATTTTTACTTTGCTCCTGAATATTTTAAGACTCAAAAATGTTGGTCTTTTAGTCTACGGCAAATGCTGTTTTGACTTTTTTTTAAAAAAATGGTTGTCAATAAACCAATTACTAGGTAATATCAATAATTCAATATCTACTTCTTTTTTTACAACAATAATTCAGTATATACTACCTCTACAAATTAATTAATTCTTGCAATTATATTGTATTGTAGTTTACTTCTTTTTTTTTTAACTAGGAAGAACCATGCATGTGATCAATCCATTTGCATGTGATGTGACAAATAATTTTCGTTTTTGGGACAACAACAAATAATCCAATCATGTGTTTTTATGTTGGTCAGTGGACCGTGGTACAAAACATGTATTTTTGATGAAATTCTATGACAGTTGTCAGTTATTTTTGTTCAAAACGTTGAAACAAATAGACTACATAAACATGTATCGATAGATGATTCCTAATTTTTACATACGCAAACAAAATTTATATATACGGATAGTTTTATTTAATATTTCATTAATTTCGAATAATATAACAAATCATAGCTAGTTTTTTTTTTTTTGACAACACAAATCTTAGCTAGTTAGTTTATACAAATTAATACAGATTCATAAGTGCATCTAGACATTATCACATATATTATTCAGACATCAAAATTCAATCGGTTTTGACCGTGCTGGGGACCATTATCAGGACTGACCATTATCAAAGTTACCCAAAAAGAAGGGGTAACAGCCACTAAAAAAACAAAAGAACAAATAGATAAAGATGACACATACCTCGGTCCTCGAATAACAAAAAGTCTCAAGTAATAAAAAAAAAAGATAATGGAAATAGAAAAGTAAATTCAAATAAGGAAAAACAAATATATTTTTTTTAAAAAGGAAGCGTGACACAAAAGAAAAGATGGAAGCTGACCTCTGGCTTTCCTTCCTCCACTACTAAAGGAATATAAATAAGCTTTTTCTTTCGACTTAGTCTTCACGTCGAATCCAAAAAGCAAACCACAAACACATATCATAGCAAAAACTCTTAAAGAAAAATAGCAAGGCGAGATGACGATGTCGGAGAACCAAAGAAACCTAGAAGCTGGCTTGTTACTTAACAAGAACCGTAACGACATCAACGAGTGTCGTATCACTGCGGTTGTGCTCTTCAGTACCTTCGTCTCTGTTTGTGGCTCTTTTTGCTTCGGTTGTGCGGTAAGTCATATCATTCATCATCATCTTTGGTTCAACTTTGAAAAATAAGAATAAATCATATCAAAAATTATATGATTCATGTGTATGGTGTTGTCTATTAAAGGCAGGTTATTCATCAGTTGCTCAAACAGGGATCACAACAGATTTAGGTCTCTCTGTTGCACAAGTAAGAACACAAAACTATTTCATGATTCTTCTTAACTCAAAGTCTATCTTTTTTTGCTTACATTTGTCTCTTTTTTTACTTCTTTAGTACTCCATGTTTGGTTCAATCATGACTTTTGGAGGAATGATTGGTGCTATCTTTAGTGGGAAGGTGGCAGATCTCATTGGTCGAAAAGGGGTAATTTAAATTTACCATCTCTATCCTCAGTAGTTTTGGAAAAATCTTTGCCCATACTGAGTTTATCTTTGTTCTTTTCTTGAAAAATAAAAAATACAGACAATGTGGTTTGCTCAAATTTTCTGCATCGGTGGTTGGCTTGCAATAGCATTTGCAAAAGACACGATTTGGCTAGATGCTGGAAGATTTTCCACAGGCTTTGCAGTTGGTGTATTCAGCTACGTGGTAATTATTTTTTTTTACTCTCTTTTCCTTTTATATCTTTATTAATATAGTTGAAACTGAGATTATGTTAACTATGTTGCAACCAGATACCAGTTTATATCGCAGAAATAACACCGAAACATGTTCGAGGAGCATTTGTATTTGCTAATCAGGTAATTTAAGAATAATCAGGAAGTAATAATAATTTAGACTAATAATCATAATAAAAAGATAAATGTTTGTTACAGCTGATGCAAAGTTGTGGGTTGTCATTATACTACATCATTGGAAACTTTGTTCATTGGCGTAAGTTGGCGTTAGTAGGTAAGCTTAACTGCTTTTTAACCTTTTGTTTTCTAGCAATTTTGGTGATGGGAGAAGATTGATTTGAGTTTTATCCTCAGGTTTGATTCCATGCTTTTTGCAAGTTGTGACTTTGTTCTTCATTCCAGAGTCCCCTAGATTACTGGTATGTTTACAGTTTTTTAGTAAAAAGTTTTAATGTTTTTAGAAAAAACATGTGAAGTGAATAATTGTAATTTGGTTTAAATGGTACGTAGGGAAAATGGGGACGTGACAAAGAATGTAGAGCTTCATTGCAGCTTCTCCGTGGAGATGATGCTGATGTCTCTGAAGAAGCCAACACTATCAAAGTATTATATTTCTTTTCAAACATCTTTTTTTTTTCAAGTTCTTGTTTTATTCAACTCAAAACTTGGCTAATAATCTCTACTTTGTAACTGTAGGAAACCATGGCGTTGTTTGATGAAGGACCAAAATCTCGGGTTATGGATTTGTTCCAGAGGAGATATGCTCCATCTCTTGTTGTAAGTTATTCTATAACGTTTTGTGGTGAAGATGTAACTTTTTCTCTTTGGCCGTTTACTGAAAGTTTGTGAACATTTTCAGATTGGTGTGGGGCTAATGCTTCTACAACAGCTCTCTGGAAGCTCTGGGATTATGTTATATGTCGGTAGCGTATTTGATAAAGGAGGTAAAAAAAAAAAAACTACTCCACATAATGACTAATGACACCATTGATTTGTCTTCATTTTGGAATAACAAATCTTCTTATACTCTATAGGATTTCCAAGTAACATTGGCTCAATGATTCTTGCAGTCATCATGGTATGTCTTTGCACATTGATTCATTCTCTTCTCCAATACACCTGACTCCACTTAACTTATGCATCATGTTTTCTTGTTTGTAGATACCAAAATCTTTAATGGGTCTGATTTTGGTTGAGAAAATGGGACGAAGACCGCTTCTACTGGTAAATCTTTTTCTATCTTTTTGATCAAATGTGAAATGAAGCCGAGTATCATTTTTAACAGAAAATGAAATAATGTTTTGATTCCAGGCTTCTACTAGTGGAATGTGCCTTTGCAGCTTGATCCTGGCATTTTCCTTCAGCTTTCGGGTAAAATTAACAATTTGTATTTACCAAAAAGATAATACAAACTTTGAAATTACTCTGTTATATTTATGATTTCTGTTTTTATTTTCCCTTCTTTAACAGTCATATGGCATGCTCGATGAGCTCACTCCAATTTTTACATGCATCGGTGTAGTGGTACGTATAAATATTTTTGACATACTAAAAAGCAATGCTCTCTGAATAAAAAATTGATCTGACGTTTACATTCCAAAATATCAGGGTTTCATCTCTGCATTTGCTGTTGGCATGGGAGGTTTACCATGGATTATCATGTCTGAGGTTAAAACCAACTTCTTCTTCTTTTTTTTTTTTTAATTAAAACTCCTCAAAGTTATTTTTACAGCTCTAAAAAGGTAAAACATTTTGATTTTTTGCAGATTTTCCCAATGAATGTTAAAGTATCAGCTGGGACTCTGGTTACCTTAGCCAACTGGTCCTTTAGTTGGATTGTAGCTTTTGCTTACAACTTCATGCTAGAATGGAACGCATCAGGTATATTATTATATATGGTTAAGCAAAATGATCAAACGTTATTACATCTTTTATCTCATTTATGATCTTTATATATTTTCCAGGAACGTTCTTGATCTTCTTTAGTATCTGCGCTGGGGGTATAGTTTTCATTTATGCGATGGTACCAGAAACCAAAGGAAGAACACTAGAAGATATACAAGCGTCTCTTACAGATTTTCTACAATGAGATTGAGATTTACCTGTTCATAGTTATTTTTTGGATTCAAATGGGGGAGGTTTATAGTAATTTTTGTTATAATTGTTTCCTCATTTTATACAACAGGAACAAAGAGATCATTTGAAAAAAGGTTTTAGATCTCTATGTTTCTCTCTTTGTGTGTTACTCAGCTACTCCCATTCATGTATAGTGTAGTCCCACTTTATGAAAAAAAAAATGAATTATAAAATTAGTTACTTTTCAGTTGCTGTGTTTTTGCTTTCACTGTAAGTCATAATACAGTAAACTATGGCCGACTAATCAATTGGTTTGTAAGTTTTTTTCCATTTTTCCGGCCTCAATCATGTAATTTTATTGAATTTTGAGGTGTTTATTTTTAGACTATATATGTGTGCGCTCTCTAAGTTTGATAAAATTCTTTAAAACTTCCAAAAATGAGAATCTCTTTAATTCTTAACATTCATTAAGATATCCCTGCGCCAAACAGACATGTAACAGGCTTAACACATCTGATTTGGATAAATTATAGAAGATTAATCATTTTGAATGTCTAACCACTGTACCGACGTTTTAATGATGTTGACTTTTTTTGGTTATTTACAACTATTTTGAAACTTAATTCTTTATTGCTACTATCTATTCTTACAAGTGGTACCGACCAAGATATTCATTTCATTGTTAAACTATTCCTAGTTGGCCACTTGCACGTATCAGCATGATTTGTAAAACAGAAATGGAATCACTTTTAGAAAGATATATTTTTACAAATCAGAAAGGAACAAAGAGAATATATGGGAATGATTTCAGTATAGTCCAGTTAGTTACTAATCCTTGACTAGACCATGTCTCTCCATATGAAAATACTTTAGTAGATGATAAAAATAACTAAATAAGCTTAAATCTTAAAGATGAACAAACTCGAAATATAGATTAAGTTGTTAAGCATTACCCAGTTAGAGACAACTAAGAGCATCTTTATCCCATGTTGCTTAAGCAATTTTCACATTCTCTCTCTTCAAATTAAGCAACCCTTTCCTCCTAAACAACTCTCTAAGCAATATGAGATAAAGATGCTCTAATAGGTTAGTTGGTCGATTACGTCATAGTCACGTATGAATTGCGCACAGCATAGTTAGTGACGATAGTGATCTTAACAATAGTAAATGAGCCTATACTTAGGCCTGGGTAGTCCAGTTATTTTCAGACGAGATTTTGCAAGCAAATGGAACGACAGTCTAATGGGTGTTTTAGATAGTGTTTTTACCCAATAGCCGTAATTCTCATCCGCTTCATTAAAAGGCTTAATGGGCTTTTAGATAGTATTTTGTGGACTCTGTAAACAGCGCATGGCATTTGGTAATTTCCAAATCTGTCTCAAAAAAATTTCCATCGACGGTAACTAGAGCATGTTTATAGCATGTCCGTTAAATTGAGTATCTTAGTTTACGATCCCTTAACTTTTAACTAAAACAACTAAGGGAAATTCTTTAAATAAATAATTTAAGGGACGTCCCTTAACGATTTTAGTTAAAAATTAAGAGACCATATGCTAAGAAATCCAATTTAAAGAACTCAACTTAAAAGACCTGCAATAAACATGTTATTTAACTCCTAAAAAAAAGATGGGTCGACACTGTTAAAAGACGTGTGTATAGTGCATGTATCCAACGTGAAGCTCCTTTTCTACTTTTTCACTCTCTAGCTTGGATTTTGCATCTATGACCAAAAATAGTTCACAAGTGACCTATATTTAACAGCTATGCAATATAAAACGTTATTATATATATACATGCATATAGTTCAGTCAAATTTGACGAGATTTAGATCAATTTACATTTCATTAAAAGTACTCGTAATGGATCAACTTCAAAGCTGTTGATCCTTGGCTGTATCTACGTACATAGAGAATAGTCAAATATTTGTATTTAACAAACAAACAAAAAACAAAGAATCTAGTAGAAAATAAAAGTCGCGACGACTTTTCAATCCTCCAATAATTGATAACACCATATATAGATTTTTTTTTTTTTTTTTTTTTTTGCAATTTCTCACAAACTCAGCCATTTTGCGTGCATAAAATTCCTTTAAATCATCCTTTTTCAAGTATGCAAATATGGATTGACAAAAAGAAGTATATAAATATATATATCACACCATAAAACATATGATTTTACTATTTGCATGTATAAATTTTGGAATACACACAAATAAAACTATCACTGTACAACACAAGTATATGCAAAACAATCATAAAAATAAAAATCAAATTCATATTCAAGTTCAACGAAGATGACTGAATTTAAAAATCAAAGCAAGTTTTAATATAAATTTTGTAATTTTGAGCCACTTTCTCATGTAGTCATGTATAAAATCAATATTTACGCGGGAACGACCTATTCCAAATTATCTGATAATATTAACAAAAGCCATAACACAAAATAATAAGATGAAACTCAATGAGCACAGTTTGACCGCCCACCCTCGAGTACACGACCAAGTCCACTGAATATATAAAACCCACAAAAAACTAGACGTATTATAAAATGTCACAGCATAAAACAAACCCACTCCTCAGTTTGTATAAGAACCTCTGGATAAACTTCAAACTTCGAAGTTCTCACAACTCAACTTTTCAACAAAGAAAGTAAAATGGATAGACAAAAAAGCATGGAGAGAGGGTTACTGAGGAAGAGCTTAAGCATAAGAGAGAGGAAGTTCCCAAACGAAGACCTTTTTCTTGAAACCGGATTATCTAGAAAATCCCCCAGAGATATTATCAAGAAATCACCTAGAAATATTATCACGAAATCACCGAGAGATATTATCAAGAAAGCTCAAAACGACGATGGTGATTGTCGTGTTACCGCCACTGTTTTCCTCAGCACCTTTGTTGCAGTCTCTGGCTCCTTCTGCACCGGCTGTGGCGTGAGTCATCTTTTCTATATCCTTATATTTTGTTAGCTTCTTACCCGGTTTAGGAGTATCAGTGTTGCATTTTGAACTACTGACTGAACCGGCTTAACTGATTTTTGAATGTATCGGTTTTGTAGGCCGGTTTTTCATCAGGTGCGCAATCAGGGATTACCAAAGATTTATCTCTCTCAGTTGCAGAGGTGAATTTCATTTTTTTATCTAACAAAGTAATTTTAAGTGACTTTCTAATTTGACCCTTTCTAATTTATAACGCAGTACTCTATGTTCGGGTCGATATTGACATTAGGAGGTTTGATTGGTGCAATATTCAGCGGTAAAGTCGCCGACGTCTTGGGAAGAAAACGGGTAAATTTTCGGTTTTGAATTTGTCATATGGTTTAGTTTGACCGGTTTTCATGTACCGAACCGGCTAATACTATTCTTTTGTTGAAAAACAGACCATGTTGTTTTGCGAGGCGTTCTGTCTTACAGGCTGGCTTGCGGTAGCATTGGCTCAGGTTTGTTTCTATTTCTTGTTTAGTTTATTTGTGATGAATTATCTTTAATTATTGTTTCTATTCATATCTTGAAGGATGCATTGTGGCTGGACTGTGGAAGATTGCTACTTGGAATAGGAATTGGTTTATTTAGCTACGTGGTAATTCCTTCGTTTTCACCGCATAAATGATAAATTACTGACCTGAAAAGAGAAAAGAAAAGATATTCACTTATACAAAGTTGTTTTTCATGTAGATTCCAATCTATATAGCTGAAATTGCACCAAAACATGTCCGTGGATCGTTTGTGTTCGCCAATCAAGTAAGTTTAAATCGGTTTAAGTTCTAACTAAGATAATCTAACTGGTCCAGCCTGATTTGGTCAAGTGTTGTATTTGGTGCAATAACATACAGTTTTGTTATAAATGTTGTTACAGCTGATGCAAAATTGCGGCATTGCACTCTTCTTCATCATTGGCAATTTCGTTCCGTGGAGATTATTAGCAATAGTCGGTATGATTATGTCTATATAGTATTATAATCTGAAAATTAGAAGAATGATAGGTATGGTTCAAACCGGATTAATGTAACATTGTGTTTCTTATGTTACCATGTTACCAGGATTCGTGCCATGTGTGCTCCACGTTCTTTGTTTATTTTTCATTCCCGAGTCTCCGAGATGGCTGGTAAGTTTATTTATATATGCATATGATATTGGTTTCTGCCTTCTTGGAGTTTAACCTTATATAATCCGGTTTTGAAATTTTGTTTGAAGAATTTTAAACTTGTTTGGTTAATTCACATTTCTTTCACTAATATCATGTTATGTTTTTCTTTGGTGTAAACTATCATGTTATGTTGCAGGCGAAAAAAGGTCGCGATAAAGAATGTAGATCGGCTTTACAACGTCTTAGGGGACCTGACGTCGACATTTCTCGTGAAGCAAACACAATTAGGGTATGAAATTGCCATTCTTCAAAATAAAAAATCTTAGGTTAAATAAGAGTGATTTTCATTTATTTTTTCTCCTTTGGCAGGATACCATAGAATTATCGGAGCTTGATGGTGAAACTCGAATGGCTGAATTGTTTCAGAGACGATATGCATATCCCTTACTTGTAAGTATTTGAAATAAGTAAAAGAAAAAATATAGTTTCTAATGAAATGGGACTGCTTTCAATACAAGAAAATATGATATAATTCAATTGCATTTGAATAAGTTATTTGTGTAATGACATATATTTGTATACAGATCGGAGTCGGTTTGATGTTTTTGCAACAATTGAGTGGGAGCTCCGGTGTAACCTATTATGCCAGTAGCCTCTTCCAAAAAGGAGGTGAGAAGATCTTAAATATTGTTGACATTATCAGTATTGTATATTATGATTTATTGTTAACATTTTATGTGTAAATTGTTTAATATAATTAGAAAAGATTAACTTATATATTTTACTTGCAGGATTTCCAAGTGCTATTGGCACATCTGTAATAGCCACGATCATGGTAAGTTTTCAAGAAAAAAAAAACATTTATAATATCAGAGAAATCTTAATAGGAAAAATAAGGAATTATTCAATGATTTTCAGGTTCCGAAAGCAATGTTGGGAACAATCATAGTCGATAAATTGGGGAGGAGAACACTCCTAATGGTTAAATATACTTGAAACTCAAATTAAATACTATTAGCCATGAAGTTTCTTCATCTTGCTAACAAAAATTAAATTTTAATGTAAATTTGAACAGTCTTCTTGTGCTGCGATGGGCTTAAGTGCTTTGCTGTTAAGTGTTTCCTACGGTTTCCAGGTGATTTAAAGTCAATTCATATACTTATATGAACGTGAATATTTAACAGAATTGTGGATATAAACATGCAACCTTCTGAGCTAATTATTGTCTTACATTTTATTAAATGTGGAGCAGTCATTTGGAATTCTCCCAGATCTCACTCCCATATTGACTTGCATCGGCGTATTGGTAATAGGCCTAATTTTTTTAAAAAAAAATTGTATCAAAATGCAAATTTTATTTATTTTTTGGAACACGCAAATTTGTTTTATTTACAACCTCAATTTTTGGATTAACTTCTTTCAATTGCTGATTAGTTTTAGTTGGTAATTTGTGGTATTTATAGGGTCACATTGTATCATTTGCGATGGGAATGGGAGGACTACCATGGATTATAATGGCTGAGGTATTGTAACATTTTATATTCCTTCCCTTTGTCAAAAGAAAAAAAAAGTGATGAATGAACTATATATTATACACACAAAAAATGGCCTAGACTTGTGTATCATAGTCGTGTTGTGTTATAAGTTACCTGGTATAAGACATGGAGAATGTATGTTGGGAGTTGGTTGTGTAAATCTAATAAACATAATTTTGTATGCAGATATTTCCCATGAATGTGAAAGTGTCAGCTGGAACCTTGGTTACCGTAACTAATTGGTTATTTGGTTGGGTTGTCACTTATACTTTCAATTTCATGCTACAATGGAATGCATCAGGTAAATAAGTAGTTGATTATAAATAATTACCATTGCTACTGTTATGAATAGTCCGTTAATGGGTGTCATTGATTTTGATTTTTTTTGTTCATTTTCTCAAGGAATGTTCTTCATCTTCTCAATGGTCTCCGCATTTTCGATTGTGTTTATATACTTTCTAGTACCGGAGACGAAAGGCCGATCACTTGAAGAAATACAAGCACTGCTCTCCAACTATGTACAATGATTTCTTTTTGGTTAAAATGATCATATAAATCGATAATTGCCATCGGAAATAGGCGATTATTATAATTGGTGTGGGTTTGCATGAGATTTGTGTATGAATTGAATTTTGCATGGGAAAATGTCAACAATAAATTTGTATATTATTTCTTGTTTGAGAAAAACTTAGTTAGTTATGCAAACAAAATACTCCCTCCGTTTCAGTTTATTTGTCATTCTAAGATTTTACACACAGATTAAGAAAACATTTAATTTTACATATTTTCAATATAAAAACACAATTACCAATATACCTAACCACTTTTTAACCAATAGAAAAATAGAATATCATATAAACCTAATATTTTGTCTCGAAACTCTAAAACGACACTTATTTGAAACAAAATCTTTTCTCCAGAACGACATCTAATTTAAAACGGAGAGAGTATATAGTTTTTGTGTTCCTAGGTGATATAGTAAACTATAGATTAAAAAAAACTGATAACCAGCATCCGACCATACTTTCCAATGTACCTATTGAGTATTGATGATCGGTTTAGTTAACTATAGACAAAACGGTGGAAGAGTGCGAGCGGTTGAACACTTTAGGAAACTGCGAGTTCAGAGTGCTGGAGTTAGGTGCGAGCTGATCAGCTGAGCTACACTTTTGGGAGACACGACACCACTCTGAAGAAGAGATGTTTGTGTGGGATGTCTAGAGATATGATTGATGATCAAACAGGTCGTGTTTAAGGTTCTCGTGAAACATCCAACGATTGTTGTCCATTGCATCTAGATGAGTATTTCAATTTGTTAGATGAGACTAACGGTCAAGAATGACGCTGATTATATTGCACACTGCTAGATTTGTCTCATTTTTAGGTTGTTTTTCAGCTGGAATAAAGTTTAGTGGTATTGTGTTTTTTGTTTTGTTTTTGCTAAAGTAGTTTTGTGTTTGTTCAAGTATAAATTGGAAACCACATTTGGATACCGGTTAAATCTGGTTCACCCATGTGTGTAAATAAGTAGAATGTCGTTTTCTTAGGCTCTCTTACACTTGATTACCAAAATTTCACAAAATAACTATACCAAATGGCAAATGCTAAACCAATTATGGTTCTAAATGTCTTTTCTTATACTGTAGTCCACAAAAAATTACTGCAACAAGTTGAAACAGTTTAAATGTGTGACGATTGAAACAGTTTATTTGATTTATTCTATTTAATAACATGTAGCGGTTGGTTTATTACCAACCGATTCGTGTAATAAATAATTTGAAATGAGATTTTCATGATTCGGTCTTCTTAACGACATATACACGAACCCAACAAAACTAGTTATTGAAGCATAAAATATAACGACGACACAACTGCAAAGAAACCTTCAACGCCAAATCAACGACCAGTGTTTTCTTTAATTCATGGTTGATATTTAAAATTCAAGAATGTCACTCCAAAATAACGCTAATTAAGACTATTTTAAAAATTATAATACGCACCTATCTCGCGCATGGGAGTTTAATCACGTCCGTTGACTCACCTGAGTAATTGACTTCTAAGCCAACGTGCGTCCATGCATCTCAACTCAAGTGCTCACAATCGCTCACGCACGTATTTGCACATATAGGTATGTTTATCTTTTTTTTCTTTCTTCATATAAGTACGTCTATGAGAATATAAATGCATGCACATTATACGCATGTATAGAGAGATTTGGAGAAAAAAATGAGGTTGAAAAACAAAGGCTCGAGCAAGATATTTTTCATGTTTTATCTAATGCTAACGTCATTGTCGTTTTTGGGTTTGGTGTTAAAGTTCAAACCTCTGTTTCTACTAAATCCCATGATCACTTCTCCTTCGATCATCGAGATTCATTATTCTTTACCGGTGGTACCGGTTAACCGGAACCCAAGATGGCTCCGACTCATCAAGAACTACCTTCCGGATCAAAAAAAGATCCGAGTGGGTCTCCTCAACATAGCTGAAAACGAGCGAGAGAGCTACGAGGCAACCGGGACGTCGATACTTGAGAATGTCCACGTCTTGCTCGACCCTCTCCCAAAGAATCTGACGTGGGAGAGTTTGTTTCCCGTCTGGATCGATGAGGATCAAACGTGGAACAAGCCAATGTGTCCAGAAGTCCCTCTCCCTCAAGTAGAGGGTACGGCTGCTGACGTGGACGTGGTCGTTGTAAAAATGCCGTGTGATGGGTTTTCTGAGAGTAAAGGGTTGAGAGATGTGTTCCGGTTACAAGTGAATCTTGCGGCAGCGAAGCTGGTGGTGGAGAGTGGGCGGAGGAACGTTGACCGGACGGTGTATGTTGTCTTCATTGGTTCATGTGAGCCCATGCATGAGATCTTTAGGTGCGATGAACGCGTGAGGCGCGTGGGGGATTATTGGGTGTATAGACCTAATCTGATGAAGTTGAAGCAAAAGCTTCTCATGCCTATTGGTTCTTGTCAGATTGCACCACCAGTTACTAAACTAGGTAAGTCTTCTTCTTACTCTAATGGCAGTGTTCTAAAATGAGATTTACGCTTAAACAATACTCCCTCCGTTTCAGTTTAATTATCATTCTAGGTTTTTACCCACACACTAAGAAAAACATTTAATTTTACATATTTACAGTATAAAAATACAATTACTAATACACCTAACCACTTTTTAACCAATAAAAAAATAGATTATCATATAAATCTAATAAATTTTGTCTTGAAACTCTAAAACGACACTTATTTTGAAACGAAATTTTTCCTCTACAATGACATCTAATCCGAAACGGAGGGAATAGTTAACCATCTCGATTTCTTATTATACAAAATTTTCTACGGAATTATAATTCTCATAATTTTTTAGTACTTTTCCAAAATTAATGTATGTATAGATTAATTTTTATATATTATTTATAGAAAAATATATCCACCTAGATATATTTGGGAAGCACTGTCTAGTTTATTTGCTTTTTATCTAAATATACCATGTACTTCCCTAACTAGTATTGTTCTCGTTACATGTTAAAGATCAAGAAGCATGGGGACATCATAAGAACGCAAGTCTCTCAGCAACAACCACATTATCATCATTTCCTTCCCAACGTGTCGCTTACGTGACGTTGCTCCACTCATCTGAGAGCTACGTATGCGGGGCAATAGCTTTAGCACAAAGTATAAGGCAATCAGGCTCGAAGCATGACATGATACTCCTCCATGATGACTCTATAACGAACAAATCTCGCGTTGGCTTAAGCCTTGCCGGGTGGAAACTACGGCGAGTAGAGAGAATCCGTAGCCCTTTCGCAGAGAAAGATTCTTATAATGAGTGGAACTACAGTAAGTTACGTGTGTGGCAGGTAACAGATTATGATAAGCTAGTGTTCATAGACGCAGACTTCATCATCGCCAAGAATGTTGATTATCTTTTCTTCTATCCTCAACTTTCTGCTGCTGGCAACAATAGAGTCTTGTTCAACTCTGGAGTCATGGTAATGCTACTAACCCATAATTTCCTGTAAAATTTACACAAAATCCTTTTTTTATTATTTTTTATACATATTAATTTTACAAGATTAAGGGGTGATTAGTTGGGATATATAAGTTATCCTGAACTTTAATTTCTATCACAAAATCCTTTTTTATACATATTAATTTTACAAGATTAAGGGGTGATTAGTTGGGATATATAAGTTATCTTGAACTTTAATTTCTATTTACTTTTAAAAAAATTATGAATCATGCTTCATATTGATTTTTAAAGTTACAATCCAAAAACAGAAATGTCTCTATAAGCCTGCAAAGTAAAAATATGTTTTTTATTTAATTATTACCGTATATATATAGTTAAAACAAAAATACTACATATACTTTATTACACACCAAAATTTATACAGTTACAATCCAACCAAATATGAATTTTTTATTATTGTCTCAAATTATTTACAATCTATTCCTTTGTTGCTTAACTTCTTTAAAATACCATGATTGTACATTGTAACAAATAATAAATTTTCTTTAGGTTTTGGAGCCATCAACTTGTTTGTTCGAGGAACTGACGCAGAAATCATTCAAGATCAAGTCTTACAACGGAGGAGACCAAGGATTCCTCAACGAATACTTTGTGTGGTGGCATAGGTTAACAAAACGTGTAAACACGATGAAGTACTTCGGTGAAGAAACCAACATCGGTCCAAAACGCAACCTCCCTGACAACTTAGAAGGGATACACTACTTGGGGATAAAGCCATGGATATGTTATAGAGACTACGATTGTAACTGGGACTTGACAACGCGGCGTGTGTATGCAAGTGAGTCAGTGAACAAGAAATGGTGGAAAGTGTATGACAAGATGCCTAAGAAGCTGCAACGTTACTGTGGTTTGACTCGTAAGATGGATGAGGACATTGAGAAGTGGAGGAAAGCTGCAAAGGTTAAGGGTTTTCCTGAAAAGCATTGGAGAGTTCAAGTGAGAGATCCAAGGAAGAAGAACCTTGTTGATTAAGTCAGTGGTAGCGTTTGGGAGTTGAAGGTTCTCACTATACATATATATTAATTATGGATTTGTTAATTTTAGAGGAAACTCTATCCAAAAGTTCGCTATAGAGATGTTTTGGGTTGATTTTACCGTAAAATTAAAAAGAATATTTGTATTCCATACCTACAACATTTATCATATTTACACTTCATACTTAATTTCCCTATAATTTTTTTCCCTCCATCATCACTATTTCCCCACAATATTTAGACATTTTCTTAATTACTACATTCTTCTTGTATTTTCAGCCAATTCACCCAATTAAAAATTCTTAAATTAAATAATAATATTAATATATATATATACTCTTATGGGGGTGCTATGATAGGGCTTTTGAGCGACAGGTGGGCATGCATAAAAGCATTTGGATTTAGATTGGGCCTAGGAGAAAGAGCTGTATTTTCCCTCGTTTGGTCTGAATATATGGTTCTGAAATGCTCTATGAATGTATTAGATCTGTGTAATGATGTGAGTGTTGGGCGAATATGTAAGTGAACTAACTAATGACAAAACCTGTATGTGTGAATGGTTTTCTAGTAGAAATTCCGTGTTATAATCGTTTTGTGTGAGACATGGTACAGTTCACGCACATGGAAGTTTAACCAACCTCCAAAGCTTAAGGTATTTTGGTAGACAACAATTCATCTTCTGAATATGTGAATGGTGTTTTAGGAGAAGCGTGTTTTGGTGATTCTAACGGTGCAAGGTCTCCTCCATTTGCATGATTGCATCTATCTTCAAGTTGAAGTGGCTGCACTGGAATCTTTCCGGAGCAGAGCTTCCATCGCCTGCGTCTATGGATTTTTTTGTCCTGTTGCAAAAACGTGGATGTCTTTCTTGTGGAGCCGGTTAAGTATCGGTCTACTAGTCTGGTTTACCATGATAGGTATACGAAAATCAGTTATTTAATTTAACGTGTAGTCCCAAAATGGTATGCTCATCTGCCAAGATAAATCATTTTATTTTAGAGTATTTGTACTCCATACACATACAAAACTTCATAATTAACTACATATACTAAATCCTACCTAATGATACATTTGTTCATAAACACCAACCACTCCCATCAAGAGTATTTTCCTAATTTCAAATTTTGTTTTGGGTTTCTACCAAATTCATTCTTT